GATGAGAGTCTATGGCTCCAAGTTGTTGATGTCGTCTGGCCGTCATCCAGAGACTAACGGTCAGACTGAACAGATGAATAAGATCCTGCAACAAGTTCTGCGTATGTACATTAGACCGGATCAGATCAATTGGGATGAGATGTTGCCCAAAGTAGCCAGCGCGTACAATAACAGCGTGCACTTGTCTATCTGTCGCACTCCCAACGAGTTACACAAGTCCTTTAGACCACGTAGACCGTTTGAGGGACTTAACCGGGACCAGATTCACAGGCTACCGCCCGGTACTAGAGAGTTTGCATTACAGCACGAGAAAGAGTTAGCTACCATGGTAGAGAACCTCAGGAAAGCCCAGCACCGAATGATAAAACAAGCTAATAAGCACCGTCGCCCGTCACAATTTCAAGTAGGCGACCTGGTCTGGGTCAAGTCCAAAGAGTTTACTCCTGAGGAAAACATCTTGCAAAAGTTACTGCCCGCGTATAGAGGACCGTGGCCAGTTCTGGAAGTTAAGGGTGGAGAGGAAGGGCCGTCCTACACAGTAGAGATCCCAACACACCTCCACACCTACCCTGTGTTTCATGCCTCAAAGTTGTTGTCGTGTGTCACAAGTCAACAGTTTCCATTCAGAAGATCCATGATTCCTCCAGACATGGACGGAAGATACGACATTGACAGCATTGTAGGTGAAGACGTGTTCAGAACAGGAGGACGGGGTCGTCCACAGAAGCAATACAAGGTTCGGTTTGCTTATCAGGAACCAGAGGACGACCGCTGGTTTACCAGAACAGAACTTCTAGAAACAGCTCCCGATGTAGTTAGAGCCTACGAGAGAGATAAGAAAGGTAAAGGTCCTGTCTTGGACTGAGTTATTCTCGGAGGACCTCAAATTTAGGCCGGCGGGAGTGAAACGGTTTTCACCTTTTAGCAGTAGCGAATCCAGATCCCAGGGCTCGATCCCCAGTTCTCACCTTACCTGTGTACAGTATCTGTGTCGACCCCGAGTGTTTGAACCCGTGACCTGTGTTTTGACAGTTGTTGTTGTCTGTCGTAGGTCTGTGTAGTGGTAGGGGTTCGATCTGTAGGTCTGCCGAGTAGGAGTCACAGCCCTGTAGAGGTCGTAGCTGTAGGGATCCTGAAAGGTCAAGGTCGTAGCTGCTACAGTCCTGAGAGGTCAAGGTCGTAGCTGCTACAGTACCCGAAAGGCCTGGAAGGTTCCGGAAGTGGCCTTTCGGAGTGGGCTCACGTTTAGGCAGAGGCAAGTGGGCAAGTGGTGGAGCCAACCTCAGTACGTTGGCAGTGCGACTGCAGTGAGTCTGTGGTGCAAACCCATGCAGTCAGCGGTACCGGTCCAGTCAGTCCCAGTCCAGTCCAGCAAGTACCATGAGGGACAGTGTGCACCATGGGCCAATGGAAAAGGGCAGACCAGCGAGTTACAGAAGTATAAATCAAGAGGCAGCGCCCAGCCATTCATTCATTCCTGCGTAAGCCATGCGGAAGCGCTGCCATAGCGACTTGTGCGAGGTGGTCTGCAGTGAGCCCGGAGACAAAGTGGGCGAGAAGGAAGTTAGCCATAGCGATAGAGTAGCAGCGGCCATAGCCGCCATAGCTGTAGGTGTGTGCGGGTGTGTGTGAGTGTACAGAGTGTGATGTGTGTGGGATATCCAGGGTGATCCTGTGTGCGAACAGCAGTGTTGAGTATGTGACGAACAGAGAGTTGTACAGGCGGTGTGCCGCCATAGCCGTTTTAAGTGAACTTGTATCTGAGCTGCGTTCTTAGTACTATATCTCTGAGTTCTGAGTGGGCGCTTGACGCCAGTTTGCTGCGCAACCTGTTTGCATACATGTGAAGTGTGAATGAAAGCGAGTCTGATTGCAATAGACTGGCGGGAAGTAAAAATCATGGTTACGATCGGGAAGTCCAAACCACAGTGCAGACGGTCTGGGTCTGGATGTCCGGGGCTGGATGTCCGGTCCAGAGTGTCCGGATCCGTCCCCCCACCCCCACCCCCCAAAAAAATCCGACTTTCAAAAAAATCTGAAAAAAAAAGATATGTTGTGCAGCATTGCAATGCAAAAAACTTTTGGCTGAGGACCATCTCCAAATTCGTAGCCGAATCCAAGGGGGTAAAAAACAAAAAAGTTTTTTTTTTCCCTTTTCAATCCGGATGGTCTGGAGCAGTCCAGACACAGGTCCGGCCGGACCTCTGGTCTGGTCCGGTGTCACGGTCCGGTGTAACCATGGTAAAAATGCTAGGGACTTTTTTGAATTTTCGACTGTATTAGGCTGGCGAGAAGAAAAACTCCAAGGGACTTTTTCTGCTACCGGTAGGCTAAGTCCAGTAAGCATTTTCAGGAAAGCATGGAAGCACATCCGTATCGGGGTGGTAAATCTGAGTTACCACGGAGGGACTCAAGGAGTAAGATATGCCTGCGGTGAACCTTAACCTTACAAAAAATCCGCGCACGGGCAATAAGTCCTTTGGGATTTACAGTGAGGTTCTTTGGTAAACTCCAAAAGCAGGTACCGGCCACGACAGGCCGAAACAAGTCCGTGGACTCGTGGAGTGAATAATTTTCCAGAGTACTCCTTTTTTCCATTGTTCTCGTTTTTCATGGCTATCATTTTTTTTCTTCGCATTTTTTCCGATGTTTTTGGGATATAATAGGCAGACAGAATGCATTACGAGGGGAAGTGGAGAAAGCTGGAACGCCACTTAGGGCAGCGGTGGCGTGGCACGGCACGGCACGCACAAAACGAAACGAAACGAAACGAAACGAAACGAAACGAAACGAAAAAGAACGAAACGAGTGCATCTTCCGGCAGAAAATGGGCAGGTTCATCGGTTTGTTATAAATAGTAACGAGTGTATTTTGCCACCTTTCGTGGGCAGATGCGCTCGTTTCGTTTTCTTTTCGTGTGCCGTGTGGCGAGGAGGCCCTTAGGACCGCATGCGGTGGTTTTCCTTCTGAGAAAAGCAGCACGTTTCGTTTTCTTTTCGTGTGCCGTGTGGCGAGGAGGCCCTTAGGACCTCATGCGGTGGTTTTCCTTCTGAGAGAAGCAGCAAGTATATTTACTATTTACTAATAATTAGCGCTGTAGAATTCCCTTTCACCTCGGACTTGTGTTTTACCCTCCCTCCTGATGAGGCTCGAGGCATGCCAGATTTGAGCTTCTTCCATAGCCTTTGCTTTGTTTCTTGTCTCTTGCTTCTTCTTCTTCTTCTTCTTCTTCTTCTTCTTCTTCTTCCTACTCTTAGAAGGACTTTCACCTAGCCTAGGTTATGGCTGCTTCACTCTTGGTTCTACTTCTTTTTTTTCTTTTTTTTGGATCAGATATTAAACTGATCCGAACAGATACTACACTTGATCTTACTTAGCCAAAAAAGGCCGAGAAAGGTATTCTCTTGGTTCTACTTTACTATTTTTTTGAAGAGCTTTTCAATTCCGACGTTTCCACATAATATCTGTTGTGTTGCTCCTTTGGAGCGTGCTTGTGAGATGTGTACGGCTGATTTCAGCATATATGCTGACGTCCGTCTCTCGCCGTCCTTTCCAATTCAAATATACTCTTAGTGTGATTGCTCTAATCTTATTTTTAATATATATATATATAAATTATATATAAATATTATATTTTATATATATCGTCACAAATTTATCAGAGCGCAAATGCGAAAAAAAGAAGAAATAAATTCATTTTTTATCTTCTTCCTTACAAGACTCCCCCGGTTCAAAACCTTTTGCGTATATATATCGTCAAACAGAGCTGCCCGGTAAACCAAAGGCAGAGAGGGAGAAGAGGACAAGAAACGAGGGGGCTGTGACAAACTGTGTATATATCGTCAAATAGAACTGGCCGGTAAACCGTAGGCAGAGAGGGAGAAGAGGACAACAAACGAGAGGCTGTGACAAACTGTTTCGTCGGAGTATAATGTACTATCTGTTTTATATATATATCGTCCAATAGAACTGGCCGGTAAACCGTAGGCAGAGAGGGAGAAGAGGACAACAAACGAGGGGCTGTGACAAACTGTTTCGTCGGAGTTTCATAATAAATATACAGATATATATGTATACTTCCTTGAAGCTCCTTAAGAACAATTGAGAGAGAAATCGATTCATAATAATAATATAATATAATTCAAAATTTTAATCTAATTGAGAAAGCATTTACCGGTGATGCGTCTACCTCTTTTCGCGTGCAGTCAAAATAAGTTTTTTGCACGTGATCACGACAACAATCTTCACGGAGGGGTTAAAAAAAGAAAAAAGAAAAAAAAAAAGAAGGTGGGCCAGGTTGGTGATGATGGGTGGGTGGAGGGAATAAAAAGTGATGAGTGAAGGGAAAGGAGAAGAACGTTGCGAGGACGAGTGAAAACAAGAGGTGAAATTGATATATTTTATTCATTCCAGAAAAGAGGGAAAAAAAACGAAAGAGAGGCAGAAAGGAAAAGTTTTGTTTTAGTATTTCATGTGCAATGAAGCGTAACAACCTTTATCCCCCCCCCCAAAAAAAAAG